TATTTGCAACGTCGCCGATTTTCTATTTGCTGAGTGGAAGTTCCTGATATTCTCTCGTACCTTTGCCGACGTTTCCAGTCCAGACACATTCACTCATTACAAACTTCTTTCATGATCCGTTTCTCTGCAAGTGTCAAAATCACTGAAGCATAACCCTTTCGATTATGTAACTACATCTTTTTTTCTGAGTAATGGTAATCTTAATTGACATAAATCACGTTCCAGTTTCGATAATACATTCGATAAATTATTACACTCTCTAACAAGAATCCATTTTATTGGAAATATTAATTGAGACTATGCAACGCGGCACGCAAGGTATTGTTTACATGCACTGAAAACGCAGTTCCTACCAAAACGTAGGTAAAGACACTTTTACAGGGCTCGACTGTTTCACTTCTTAATACTTGAGACTTTCTTTGTCTAAGAGTGAAATGAATATGGTCCATACCATCGGTTCTTTCGTAAAATGAAAATTGGTAAAATCCGGTAAAACCGGGTGCTTACTTTAGCAGCTGATTCACAGGTTGACAACTTGTGCAACGTCGAGATTGGTGAGTTAGGCTAGGCGGGCATTTAGAAAATTTACGATTCAGCCGTTCATTACAATTTCAAACCACAACAGGATTAGGAATACTGCGGTTCACCAAAACAGTTTCACAACCATCGAGTGACACGGAATTCGTTGAATGCTAGTTGGAAAAAATTCAATTGCTTACACATAGTGAATATTATGTTGGTTTTATAGGCCACCATTAGTCATCTATCAATTCCATCATCATCACAACCATGGCTATGTGTTATTGATGGTAAAAATATTATATTAAATGTCGAAGGCGTAAATTTTAATAAGCGCACTCATTAAATAAAAACACTAGCAAGTCATTAGCAGTGGTAATTTTTTAAACCTTTAATTACATTAGTTGCTCTGCAGAACGAGACTGCTGCAGCCTGCAGGGATGGATGCTACAAATTGAGATATAAAGAGAAACAAGAGTAAAATTAGATAAAGAAGTTACATAAATATTTATGGAGGATATAGGAAGACTTTTACCACAGAGGTTGAATATTAACCAAACCTACTCATATCATAAATGTATTTAAGTTTTGACTCGTATTAAATATATTCTAATAATACAACAGTGACCAACGGCTGATATGATGATAATCACAAGGAAGCTGCAACTATCAACATCAAAGAACCATCCGCATAGATATCTATATGCTATAATTAATTATAATTATTTGAACCAATGCAAGAAACAAGCAAAGGTGACAAAGATAAACATGTTTACAGACAAAACTATCGTGATATTACTTACGGCTGACATCATACATATGTATGATGTTACGGCTGATATCCTCATGACATCAAAGTCGTAGTTTTGATAGTTAAATCTTGCATTGCAATGGTAAATTTAACAGCATGTATACATTAAATAAAACTAAGCATGTATACATATTAGGGCATACATCGTCAGAAATAAACAAAGTGATCTTCTGTAACCATATAAGACCTTATAGGCTACGTCATAAGGTTGCATCAAGGAGAATTCTTGCGGTGCATTCCTTACTTCAAGGTCGATGCACATCGCATGCATGACGCTTGAATGCCGACTCTGAGCAAACACACATTAATAAAATTGTTATGAACACAGGTAATCAAAAACTAATATTTATAGCGCAGCCTTGCTTTGGCATAAATATTTATTTTTTACGAAAAAATAAATTACCTAGTAAATAATCTGATTTGAGGCTTATCTTATAAATCATCAAACAACCAACTGTACGAGTCGATGTCTTTAATAAGAGTAAAAAGGTCAGTTTTTTTTTTTTTTTTAAAATGGTAAAATATTCGAGAAATAAAAAACAGATATTTTTCGTAAGTGTACGAGAATTTTCCTGCAATTAATTTGAAATAAGAAGAGTGTGGATAATATTTCTCGCAAGCATGATGACTCACAGCCGGAAGACCGCACCCGCGCCCTACGAATGCGGTACCACCAAGTCTGTGACCGCATTTTTGACATAAAAACCCGACAAAAATATTTAAAACTGACAATTTAATACATAACTTTCTTTATTCTCTTTTCCAATAAAATCAATCTTTGGGAACAGACAGACTTACAGTAATGTTAGACAAATCGGCGACCGACAAGCATCGTCACCATTTCTATAGGTTTAGGAATTTTTACGTTATTTTCATCATCAGCCTATTAATGTCCCCAATGGGCACAGACTTTCCCCTATGGATGGAATAGGGAGTATGAGCCATGACCCACCACGCGGGTCCAGTGCGGATTGGCGGGTGCTAACGACTGCAGATGCAGCCGGGACCAACGGCTTAACGTGCCTTCCGAAGCACGGAAGAACTCGAGATAGAAGATTTTTGGTCACCCATCCAATGATCGACCACTGCGAAAGTTACTTAACTTCAACGATCGCAGATGAACGCGCTAACCACCTGCGCCATCGAGCTCCTCCTTCGTTATTTTGCTCCGTAAGTAAGATTTTTTTAAACTGTCCAAAATTTCTCCATTAGTGAATTGAAGTTGTATGAAGATGGACCAAGCCACTAGTATTTATTTAATACTTGACAAAAAATTAAAAAGCGGTCATCCATAAAGTACATCACACGTTAAGGGGGAGGGGCCAACGACCATCACAAAATTAGTGTGACGTACTTTATGGATGACCTCAAGGGGTCAACCCCTAAGTAGAATATAAAACATACGTGAAGCCTTAAAACATTACACTCTCTTTTTTGGGCAGTTGTGTAAAAAGATGAAATTCTTTGCAAATTAAGTTAGCTATCAACAGCATAGCATGGCAATCCACAGAAATTGGTTTACGTCTATGTGGTAGCTCTGACAGAAGGGTGTTTGGATTGAAAAAGAGGAAACAGACAAATGCAACAAGTTTATAAATAGTTCATATCATAACATAACATAGTTTCAGTGATAATATCGCTTTGTAAAAGGTTTGTTCATTCTCAACCTGCAATACTACTGCTAAATAAATAAATACAAAGTAAATAGAGGTTTCTATAGGGTTTATTGCACCACAGAAATTAGATAAAGATACAAAAGCACCCTGCAGAGCACGAAGGTCGAGTTTTCAGTAGTTTAAAGAACAGCACCCATAGAAAATGTTTGTTTAAACAAAAAATACTGATGGATTAGGAATCTCATCATTTTGAAATACAAATATGTATGTTAATTTCCATTATCACATGACTTTGCCTCAAGTGAAGCTATAAGAAGGTCCTGGAGAGGCTGGCTGGCCTGGAAACTAGTGTTGCACATGATGAAAGGTGCTATTTTACTGAACATGGCAATTATATCTTTGCAACTTATTTGTGAAGAAGAAAAGAATATTATTGTATTTTAGTTATAATAAAAAATATAAAAGACCAATAACAGGTGGAAGTAGTCAATTTCTTTTCAATTTTCATTAAATAATGGGCTGGCCACAAAAACACTTAGAAAACTAAAGAAATATGTAACAAATGGGTTATTCCACTGCTTGCCCTAATGTTGTGTCAAGGCTTACAATACAGCAGTCTGGCTTTGAATACTAAGTTATTAGTTGCACAAAACGTGGCTGCAAGGTTGACACATGTCGTCAGTATGAATATCCTTTAATTGACTAGCGGTTATAACAGCTAACCATTTGTAGGTAAAAAATTAAAAAGTGTGAGCAAAGCAGTTTCTTTTGACATTTACTTTACTAAATCATATTTTTTTATAGGACATAATATATAAAGTTTGTTGAAAAAGGCAGTTCACATTATTTTAACACCAATTATTTTAAATAGGTTACCTACAAGATAGTATTTATTTAGCTATTTGTTAATGTAGAATATCAATCAACCTCTTTTATAAAAAAAAATTGAAGTTTCCAAATAATTTGAAACCTCATCACTTAATTTCCTACCATTAGTTTGATCCATAGCAACATTATGATGTCATTTTGAAATCACCTAAGTCAACAATAGAATGCTAGCATGAAAAGAGTGTCCAACATTAATGTAATGATAAGAACATATGGTTTACTTTTACGATAAATGAAGTGTCATTATTATCTAAGAAATAAGATGGTTGCACTTGAATTTATTAAAATCTGTATATAAATTTACTAAACATATAGGGGATTAAAATAAAATTTTATATTTATAAAATTATTGACAAATAAGGGTTGTAGCTGTCTCATAATTTTAACATCGTCCCCTTGTCATTGAAATATACACTTACAGAAACTATAACTTCATGTCCAAATTCTTTTTTATGTGGGGAAATGCATGATAATTCCAGCTCACTAAAACAAGAGGTGAGCGAGTTATGTTAGACTCTCCCAGCCCACCCACTAGACAGAAACAAATTTTCGGAAATTTCCTATGATCATAAACTTGAAGTTTATTGTGATTACTGCATAAAGATGTGTATTATCTCTCAAACAATCTTTATAGAAATAAATAAGTACAACAGATTTTTTTATTATTTACATTTTGTTTGTTTTTTTTTAGATAGATGTGTGAAATTGTCTAGTGATTGATTTTCTAAAATATCCCCTAGCTAGAATTTATAATAAATAACTTTATTCACATAGACTATGATAAATGCAATGTCTAGTTTTCTAAAGAAAAATTAGGTTCATTTGGAGTAAAAAAGTTATATTATCAATTGTATGATAAGGATACTGATAATTACGGTACCTATGAGTGATCAATGATAAATAGGAAGTGTTTACATAATTGTCGAAGTAAATATTAACGGGGTTTATAACTCTTTGGAAACAATAATTGGCTATATCTATATGTTGTTTTATGTGGTATTTATTAGGTTAGTTGCTCCCAAGGTAAACCACACGCGGCCTGACATGACGAAAACATGATTATGTACGCGAAGTTGATACGCATTCATGTCTTTCAGAGTTATATTTTTTAATTTACCTTCTGAAGACAAAATATGCCGGTATTAAATAAAGTAAGTATGTAATACCTGTGCAAACTGCTCTCTGATCTCAGTTCTCTCCTCGTCGGTCAATTTTGAATTATCTGCCATCGTCACACAGTTAAAATCACAAAACAACGATCACAACATCAATATGCAATACGTTTTTGTATTTGTATAAATTACTCTATTCACTGTTCACTTACACACTACTTTTACGTATCAAAAATAAAAATGGAATAAAAAATCACAGCACAATAACACTACAGAAAAGACACCGCTTCAGGAGACTTTTTTTTATGAATGCAAATAGTGAGTAGATAGGTCGGTACCTCGCAATACTAATGACGGAGGGACAACCAATCACCGAACGAGAAACGGCACGCAAGGTGCCAAGTCAATGAGAACGCATGCGCCGTCAGTAATACCAAATAAAAAAATTAAAAATGCGGTAAAAGTGCTAAAAAAGTTGATTTAAAAAAAAAGCGGGAGATGTAGAATTTGTAGAAACAACTTAAGACTTTTTGAAAATAAAAGAGCAAAAGTACAACAAAGATAGTTTGTCTAATGCATCTAAATATTTTATATACCTACATTTTTAAAATGTATCAGCATTTAAAGATAAATCCGTCAACGTAACGTATTATGTGTAGATCATGTCTATGAGAAAAAAGTTACTGTTGTCGTTGTAGCAGAGGTTGTAGCTAGGCATGCGTCCGATATATCAAAACGAATCCAAAATCCGATTTCAAACACAAATCGATACCGAACGATTTCTCAACAAGAAAATCCGATTTCAGAAATCTAACCGAACCAAAACGCTAGCGATCTAATACCACCACAAGTATCCAAATGTAAATCGGATTCGAAATTCGTGCTTTCGTTTTCGGAAGTCCGATTTCGTGCTCGGAAGTCCGATTTCGGTTTGCTGTTTACGGAAATCTATTGTTCTTCTCTAAGGCGGGATTATTTATTACTGAAAAAGATGTCGTCTAAAAACATCAAAAGTCGAGCAACTGACATTTTTTGAACGCTAACCTGAAGTAATTAGGTTTGATTTTGTAAATGGTTTGAAAAATAATAAAAACAAAAAAAAATACTAAAAAAATATGTAAAAAGAAATCTTGTATATAAGCCGATTTTTAAATGCGCCGCAAAAGTTTTACTTTTAACCACCTTTTAACCGTAAAGATAACTTTTGCTGCTAGTCCTAAGCCACAGAATATATACTCTTGCCTAAGCCTAGATTTAAAGCATAAAGGAAAATCGCGCAAATCTACGAGTATCCTTGCTTCGTACAATTAGTTGTTTGTGATTGTCGTTAGCTAATAAAACCAAATCATAACACAAACTAGTTAATTGGCTAAGTTCGGCACATCTGAAATCGGATATCTAAAAACGGATTTTAAAATCGATTTTGAAATCTGAAATCCGATAAATATCCGTTTGCGTTCAAAACCAAAAACGCCCATGTCTAGTTGTAGCATACTGAAACCTCGTAGTTTAAAAGTCTATCGCAATCCATTGCCAAAAAGGCAGGATAAAATCTGGAAAAGTGATTTTTCTGGCAACACTGTTTCTTGTGGCTTAATAACCACAGAGTATATTTTGGATCGCCAGTTTTTCTCAGTGGGTCTCCCCATTAGAAACTGATGTCAGTTTACCTACAATTGTTAGGGGCTAACAAATAAAAGATAAAATTAAATAAATCAAATCAATAAAATAAATAAAATGACTTAATAAATAAATTCGGAATAGGGTATTTTTTAACTTACTTTTAAATTATATGTTCTGTTTTATATCTTTCAAAGAAAAACGTATGTTTAAATTGTTTGATTTTGTATAAAGATTTAGTAGGTACTAGGTATTGCATTACAATTGGATAACTAAACCATTGCACAATGTAGGCAATTTATGAATAAAACAACACAGCTTTAAAGTAAAAACAAATTCTATTTTAGCTGAGTAACACTTTATTTTTTGATGTTTTTTTTTCGTGGTTTTTAAATGATCATAAAATGTAAAGAAAATTATTTTATAAAATATGATACACAGCAAGACAAGACACCCTAAACATCGGGAGACTTTCTAGTACTAGAAACATTAAGCATTCGTGACTAAAAAAAAGGAGCACTTTCAGAGTTTTGGCGGGATTTCATCGAGAGTGGTTGGCGTCTTATTTATTATAAATCATTCTTAATTCGTTCAAAGTTGGTGTGATTTTGTGTTTCAACCATCTGCTTAACTAAAGAATTAGTAGAATCTTTAAAATATACGCTATTCGGGTCAAGTGGACGTGAGAACTTTATTGTAGTGTTGACTACCTGACAGAAGCTTATCGAAAAAGCTAACTCCTATATATAACAATGTACTCTATGGCTAACTCGATACATTTCTTGCCGAACATTAGAATGCGTCACACTGACATTGGCGTCGATTCTGGCATGATTCTCTAAACTTAAAACTAAATTTAACATCATTATCTTCTTTTCATTCTGTAAAGAGAACGACAAGGATACACTGTTGTCAAATTAAAGTTTCGGTTTAGCGAATCATGCTAGAATTGACACCAATCGAATGTAAAAAAAAAGAAGATTAATTAAACTTAGGACTAGGCTGTATAGGCATTGTTCCCTCTGCCTTCCCTGAAAAGGGAGAAGCTTCAAAAAAAAGGAACAATAACTATACTTTTTTCATAAGAGAACAAATAAATGTTTCCGCGAGATGGAGCTTTGCTACTTCTGAGAAGTTCTCATTTTCTTACTAGATGTCACTGTATGTGATGTGCTGTTTGAACATGGTACTTAAGTTTTTATTTGCTACTCGCCACTAGATGGCAAAAACGTAGTTCTAGAATGTGGTCGTTCATCCGAGAGTGGAATATTCATGCAAATTTAGATCAACAAAACTCTGGAATATTCTCGTGAATTCAGGGCTGACTAAATGTAGGGGTCGCAAAATTGTTTGAATAATGAAATGACCTAATGTTTTAATTTAACTGATAAGTGCAAAGCACTGCGATTGAATTTTAACTCATTATAAATAAGTGAAAAGAAATCGTCAAAAATATTACCCTCCACAGTCAGGTAAAAAGATTGATAAACATTTTTTTTACTCAATTAGTAGGTATAATAATTTCTTCATTTTTCTTAGTATTCCTCAGTATGCAGACGTAACAAGCGTAAAGTGTCGAGTTCTCTTTCTCATCAAACTTCTCACTAGCACTAGGTACACCGAAATAAACTTTGTTTAGTACCTCAGAACTTTGCCATTACAATATCTACTATAATATTTATTTATAATTTTAACATTGTGTTAAAAATATAACTTTGTAAAAGCATACAATAATTTAAGTTGTTACTACAGCAATTAATTAATGAAGTCAACTCAGATAACATGAGACCTGGATATAATTTGTATTTTGTCAATACTAAGTTCAGATCAGTTCCCATTCAAAATGATTGTTTACTGAAATGTATTTGAAAGTCGATAAGAAAAGATAAAGTTTGCAATATTTAATGAGCATTTCATATTTATTGTACACTCAAACATATTCCTGCAAAATCTATGCCTCAAAACTCGCATTATTTTTAGAAAACCATAGGGATTCACACAAATTTATTAATTCTTTCACCTAAAGGTTATCATAATAAAATTAACAATAGTCACGGATGGGATCATTTTTTATTTATTAGGATGAATTGAGATAAAGCCTCAAAATAGATGTACGAATCTCAAAAAAATGGGACAGGTAATTTGAGATGTGACTCAAGTAACCCTCAATTAGAATTTCTATTTTATAATTTAGATTTCGTTTTCATTATTTTGTGTTAATTTTATTTCCATATCATATTACGTAACGTTTAGAATTATTTATATGCCTTATGTTTGCAACATTTGAAGGTTAATTGAGACAACAACAAGGATTTAATTTTGTCAAGTCGTAATTTTTGATGGAGGAAACATTAACTCAACTATTATTAAAATATAACTTATGTTAAAATTTCAATGTAAAATTCAATAAGTTTAAAAATATATGACTAATTGAATTTGAAAACTGACCCCTATTGTATGCGTTGAAGGCGCGTACGGACAGGAAACCCTGATATGAATATTTTATGTCAAAAGTAATAAGTGCTCTGGACTTCGTCCTGAATTCCAAACGTCAATTATGATGTAAGAGTGCATTTAATTCCGTCTTGTCCATTTAAACAATCTTTTATTAAAATTATTGATGGTCATATAGATTTAAAGTAATGAACACAACCTTAACATACAAGCAGATGGATAGACTGATAGAATTACTTTCGTATGTGACGGACAGACAGATAATTACTTTCAGATCGAGCACGCTTAACTAGAGTAGTAGGAATGCAGGGTTATCGCATGTTTATTTTAAAGAGTGTTGAAACCTAATTGCGAGTCATAAAATACTTTTTGCCATATTGGAATATTTTCCTTAGAAATAGTAGTATATTTATAAAATAGTAGTAGAAGTATATTTGTCTCTACTATAAAAATACAAAATAGTAGTTTTGGGTTTTTTTATTTAAAACAAAGAAAGGCATAATTAAATCCATTTCTAAATACAATTATATGGAATAAAATAATACATTTCCTTAATTGAATTTTTGATATAATATCTAACTAACTCAAATAATAGAATAGAGAAAATTCTTTAAAAAAACAGGTCGGTAACTGAATTTATACCAAAATGATAAAAAAAAAGTACACCACAGCGACCCTCTAAGTGGAGCTGCCCTGGCTTGAGCGGGGACCGGCGCGCAGTCTCGAGTCTCGAATATTCCACCTCTTTCAAGATGGCGCCACTAGTATAAAGCGTGTTGCGCGCGCCGATCGTCATTCATTTGAAAACGAAGAGCGCATTCTTCGAAACAAACGACACGGATTGTCTTCGCTGCGAATTTCCAACAAGTAATTTCATTTTACACAAGAAGCTAATAAGAAGAAAAATATAAGATGTCGCTGATTCCGTTCCTCTTGGACTACGAGTTGGAGCGTCCCCGTCGGGTGCTCGACCAGCACTTCGGCTTGGGTTTGACTCCTGAAGACATGTTGTCTGTTGCCGCCGGGCCGCTGATGAGCAGGGATTATTACCGGCCGTGGCGCCACCTGGCCGCCGCAGCGCGAGATCTCGGCTCCAGCATCAAATCTGACAAGGACAAGTTTCAAGTCAACCTGGACGTTCAACATTTCGCACCGGAAGAGATCTCTGTGAAAACGGCGGACGGCTACATCGTGGTGGAAGGCAAACACGAGGAGAAAAAGGACCAGCACGGATACATTTCTAGGCAGTTCACGCGCCGGTACGCGTTACCAGAAGGCTGTACTCCGGAAAGTGTTGAATCTAAGCTG